GTTTTAGTAAATCTATAGAGAGAAGTTATTTAATTACGTCAGTATGGCGAAACTACTAACCTTCTGATTGTATACATATCTCAATGACTGGATCGATAATATTATTTCATTCTAATTCGTCATTAGTGACATCACATAACATAATCATTAACTAAGCTTAATGAAAAAAATATACATCACAATGCTGTAAAATTTTTATCTGAGTCTTTATAATTGACCTGTTATTTGATTATCAGAGTTTAAAAGTCATCGGTTAGGAATTTATAGCTTGGTCTATTATCAAATATTAAGTATTCATTATGATGCAGGTTAACTGAATGTTCACGTAATAAACCATACCTTTTCTAAATATACTCACAGAAATATGCGTGCGATCACTTAATCTGAGTTAATTGAGTTATTCTGTTCACAAACATATACGTGTTTAAATTGGTTTCAGTCTGTTATATCCTAACCAATATATTAAGTAACATACTGTAAATTCTTGATGTATATCTAGTACTCAAAAACAATTTTTCTAACAAACATTCGATCACAGTAATATTTATATATCAACTATTCCACATACATATGTTACTGACTGTGTTTGTGATTTAAAACATTATCTACAAAAGAAACTGTTCAAATTGCGAAAACACTACATGAGACAAAGTTGATGTCCTCTTCGTCTTCGTCTACATGGACATCGGTTATCAGTTAAAGGCAATGAGATTTTGTCAATTGTATTAATACATTCGGACAATCATGGACGTATATTCGATTGGAACAGTGTTGAAATACTGGGAGAGAATTTTTAGAAGCTTGGCACTCAAATCAATCAAGTCAAAAAACACATCAACATTGATCCAATTTATCAACCAATCGGAAAAATCAATAACAAGCATAGGATCAAGAATCAAATCAATACACTAATAGTACAGAGGCAGACAATAATGACAAGTTAAAGGTCATTAATAGCTAATCAAGATCGAGGTCAACAGGACAAACTATAAATGATAAGTGGAGAAATACGAATACTTCACCTGGAGCTTGTGCCGATGTTGTTCAGAAAAACCACTAAGCACAGAGAACGTAACTCCGCCATAACTAGTATAATAATTTCTTACATATCATATGCGAATCATTGATCGTGTCGGAAACATCAGAGTCACTCGTGATAATGAAATAATGCATTCGTAATTTTCAGCTGAGACGAAAAATTAAATTTCCGATGTATATTGACTAACGCTAAGTCAAGGTATTTAAAAACAATTTGATAAAATCAAAATATTCAACTCAAAATTTGATAAAAATAAATATGATTGAACTTTTCGTTATCAGCAATTATTTCCGTTATACGTATTAAATAAGAATGACATTGTGATAATTCAGATATCATTCACATATCGGGCTAAATATCTGAAACACGTGAATTACTGTATAGTCAAAAGGGTGCAATATTTGTACTAGCTAGATAGTGCTTTTTAATTTTGTTCCTCATATATATATATATATATATATATATATATATATATATATACTACTACTACTACTATTACTATGTGTTCATATACTCAAAATAGTGTACTTATTAGCTTGTACTAAATGTCCTAATTTCTCTACCGGCATTTTGAAAGAAATCCTACTTAAATTAATATAAAAAGTAATAAGGAAAGTGCAGTGTTTTTTACATAAATGTAACATTCAGTTTCAATGTTGATACCTTTGGTACATCACTGTAGTAAATTTGTAAGAATGGAGGTACCAACCAGTTTTTTGACACCGTATACATTCCATAAAGGATACAAAATAACTTCTGACCTGCTACATTGACGATGGCTTCGTGGGTGAGTAGATAGCTTTTGACAAGTTGAAATTATAATAGGAAAGAGCCCGGTCAACGAATATTGCTTGTTGCAAATGTGGTTTCTATTTACCTATAAAAAGCGATGATAAATATGGTACAATTTTTATGTTTAATCCCATGTTAATGAAGAGGGCGAAAGTAAATGCGATATTCGATGTGATAATCAATTGAAAAATAAAACATTTCTGTTGTTGAGTTAATTCTACTACAATTTTCAATTTAATTATAGATACTGATCTCTTTCAATAATACTGATAATATCATCTAAATGTTAAGACGTTTGATTAATTTTTTTGTTGAACAATCAACCACATATTTTACTTCCGATCTTTTGAGGCAGATTTGGATAAATTTATGAAGAGTAATTAATTAAAAGTAATTTCATGCATATCCATTGCTTTCATTCATGCCGCCGTTATCAGGCAGAATATCTCATTTATTATTAATAATTTGTCAGTGTTTATAAGTATTAATATTATGTAAAAATTTCACATATTACCAATTGATAAGTACAGTTAAATAAAAGTAAAATAAGACATATTCCCGCATAAATGCATATACAAAAGCGCATGCCGTTCCGCGAATCACACTGCACAGAACCAAGTCTATTACATCTGCATCAATGAAAAATTCAATAGGATCATGAAGGATGTAAAGACAAAAAGAACAACTGATATAGTCTCAGATCATCACTTGCTTGTTGCCAAAATGAAACTGAAACCGTAGAAGCACTGGACAGCGGGGCAGACAACATCACAGAAGTTTAATAGGGCCTTTCTTTGGGATACTGACAAACTCAACGAATTAAAGATAGAACTTAGCATTAGGCTCTACGCCTTGCACGATCTACTCAATGGAGAGGAAACAACCATGGAGAACAGTCGGAAAGTGATCAAGAAGGCAACCACCTCAACATATCACGAGGTACTGGGTCACAAAAAGTACCATCACAAGAAGTGCATCTCTGTTGATACTATGGATAAGATTGAAGAATAGAGGAACAAGAAGGCTGCAATCAACATCAGCTGGACAAGGGCAGAGAGAGTCAAGGCAAAAGCTGAATACACAGAACCAAACAAGCAAATGAAGAGGAGCATCAAAATTGACAAACAATAGTATGTGGAAGATTTAACAGTGACAGATGAAAAGATTGAAAAAGAGGGAAACTTGAGACAGTTGTACGATAAAACAAAGAGGCTCGCTGGAAACTGCCGCAAACCAGAATGACCAGTGAAAAATAATCACTAACACTGAATGATAGCGAAACAGGTAGATAAAACATTTGAAGAACTCTTGAATCACTGGTTACATTACGCAGAGTATTGGAAGCATACATGAAAAGAATGAACAAAAGTTGGATAAAACAGGAAAGGAGGCTCGAGAGCAGATTTGGTTGGAGAATGCTGGTCAGCGGTCGATGTTTCATTTGGAGTAACATGCTCAAGTAAAATAAAACTGCTTATTTGAAATTCATTTCGATCACACTTATTTATTTATACTAGCCGTAATGCTTTGAAGTTGTACTATCTAGAATTTATTGTTTGTAAAAAGATTGGTAATATCAAAAAAATAATGTATCAGTTTTCCACATATTACATTCTGAAGGGCAAATGTTTTATTCGCTATATATATGTGATATTTTCAAGTAAGACATTTGTCATTATTGTCATGTTTAAAAATGAATAAACATAAATGTTTGTCAAGTTTGACACTAGATTTAACATACACGTTTTTCTGGAGTAAATGTAATGACATTATTATTACTATAAACGGGAATATTATTATTTTGTTAGAAAGCATTCTTATTTATGTACTAATAGAAAAAAATTTCCAATTGTAAACTAATAACGAATAATTATTTGCTGAACTTTATTTATGCTCCTAATACTTCAAAAGAAAAGAAAGTCTTGTAATTTTCTTCGTCTTCAATATAAATATATTTGTTTTTGTGTTTTGTTTCACATAACTTAATGTTCAACATCAGGTTTTTGTAGATCCAGAAACTATTATAAAGTACATTAGTCTATGGTGTTGATTATAACTAGATTAGTGCACAGCAAGAATCACTGTTTATTAAGTTGATTGTTTATCAACTTAATAAACCAGTAACGATTATTAAATTATTCACTGATTTACTGCTGATACATTGGTTACTTACTGATTAATGTAGCCACCCTACACGGGTCTCTTTGAATCATATATGTATATATATATATATTACCAAAAGGATATTGTTTTTATAAAATATATCTTATCTGAAAACAGAATCATTTGTCGACATTTCTTATACATTCGACTGATGAAAATATTCACAAATTTATCAACAAAAACATTAACTGTACATTGTGCTATGATTTTACGTTTACATATTTCTAACAAAAAAATATAGCAAATATAAAGTCGTATAATTCAATAATTCTTAAGACATTATTATTATTATTTTGTTTGCTCAAAGTGAGCCAAACTCAAAACTTTCTTCATACTAAACGATTGTGTTGAAATACATGTTTTCAGAACATTTACTAAATGTGTTACATACTAATAATAAGGTCTTGTTTCATTAAACTCTGTTTTCGCCTATTCAGTTAGCATATTTTTATCAAATGATCAATGATAGTAATTTCATTTTCTTGTTGATATTCAGTTAGTTTATTATTGCTAGTGTATTTATCAAGACATTGCTTCGTTACTTTGATACAGACGATTTCGAGAGTTATCTGAGTGTTCGTAGTGAAGTCGAGTAATTTATTGGCGTCAACCAAATTTTACCACACATAAAACATTAAGTTTCCGTCATACATATGAAGAAATTGTGTAAGTGCAAACAATATCAAAAGTTTATGATAAATGATACTGATTGAACCAAATAATTATAGTCATATAGTTCAGAATAGTATTATGTCTTGACGGGGATAAAGCGCCGGACACGATACTATAATAGGTAAACAGTTAGTCGTTGAACATTGGAGATAAAAACTTTTTGAAGTGTATTCTGTTAATATAATGAGAGCTTAGTTCTTAAGATAACAAAAAAACCATGAAAGTATACGGCATAGTAATTTGCGGAATTTTTACGACGCAAATTATTCTTAATTTTTTTATGAAAAGAGCTCGTAAATTTTCATTTGTATTGGTTGTATTCATTTGATTTTAGATATATTTATTAAAGCAAAGAATGCTGGCAAAACCGGAGAAAATCAAATTGGACTCAAAAGTGAGTTGCTGAAATTTTTTTAAAAATTTTTATTGCCTCTTATATATTTAGAATATGCAGATAATGTGAGAGCATTTCTCACTACCATTAGTCAAATAGAAAAGTGCATGTAGGTCATTTAAAGTGTATTTATCAACTGGAGTCTATCTCACTATTTAAATATTTTATTCAGCACTTATCAATAAAATGTATTTGAAAATATCACTACTAAACTGTTAACCAAGTCAACGACCTGATAACTAAAGGCAGTTAAACTTAGATTGGCAAACGAATGAACCGAATCTAATGAAATATTATGAAACTAATAAAAGAGCACATATAGATGGAAAAAATCACAGTCTCTCAAAGTCTTATCGACATTATATGTTTGTTAATTACTTAATTTGATGATATAGTTACAGCGTCCGCTCAAGTCAGCTACATTGAACAACTAGAAAATTCGTTGAGTCATTTCTTAATTTATACATCAAAGTAGTCACATTTTATACATTTTAAATCAAACTGAAGTTCCAGGAACTCAGAAACTGTTAGTTTATAGGTCCCATGAGACAATAAAGTAATCCTATATTTATGCATGTGAAAGACGATTTGACCAATTTATGTGGCATTTTAAATGTACAGGGAAACCAATATGTGAAGAAACTCTGACAAGCAGAATAAGAAACTCACTAATTTACATTTAACTGCTACGATTCTCAAAGTGCAATAATCAGTCATGTATTTTCTCACTTAATAACCTTGTTTATATTTAAGGATATTCGTAGGTTACTGGTTTTCGATCATAGGTGTCTTCGAAGCATTGCTCGTATATCGTGGGACACCCGAGTGAGCAAAGCTGTTATTAGGAAACGGGTGCTAGGTAAGAATGGCAGATCAATAGATGAAGTAATGAAACTTCATCAGTTGAGGTGGTTGGGACATGTGTTGCGTATGCCTAACCACCGACTGCCTCGTCGAGCTTCGTTTTGTAGTGTAGGAATAGGTTGGAAGAAAGTTAGGGGCGGCCAAATCAAAACATGGCGGAAATGGATGAAGTCATTGACGAGTGGACTTAGCCATGTCATAATTGTCGACTACCTGGTTGGGGACCGCGAGATGATAATAATCGATGGTTAGAGACCTTGAATGACATGGCTCAAAATCGTTCGCAATGGCGCCGGTGCATTTATTCTTTGTGTTCTCTCAAATCCTAACCTTCTGGGTTCTTCAACAACTCTAGTTTTGACTTTCTAAACTTATCTCATTGAATCATACTTCTTGAATAATATCTTCTAATCCTAACCTCTCCGATTACTTCAAATACCTTTACTACCTCTTCTACTATTGGATTTGAATTGACAATTATATCTCTGTGCTGATGTGGTATGACGACATGAACGGATGTAATTACGTACGAAGTTCTGCGTTGCATCTGACTGTCTGACTGACAGTAATGGTTGATTTTTAACCTTAAGTAATTTACTTTTTGTTTGGTATCATTTTTCTGCTATTTTAGATCAAGAAGCTGTGAAGCTATTAGTGCCGAAAAATGTGATTTTTGAGAACCTACTTATAATAAATGATATTTCCCAGTCAACGTTAATTAATGAAACTGCTTCCGTTTTAAAATTTCATTTTGTAAGTATATAATGCTCAGTGAATATGTGTTACTATTTAATGACTATATCATTTTGTGAGTTTTCTTTACACTATTAGCTTTTAAAAATGTCATGGTTATGGTCATTATGTTGAAAACATTCTCAATATAAAACCTAATCATTATTTGAATCACGTGTTACTGTTTGTGTCGATTACTACTATAAGTGAGTGGTTTTTTGAATTCAGAAAGTGTGGTGTTGGAAGATTTAGTTTGCATTTCAGTGTCTGCTTATTAAAATGCTTGGACTTAAATTTTTCTGCTGCCTTACTTCATTTTCAAGTATAAACATTAAATTATTATTTATTAAATAACTCTTTAGTTATTTGTGTAAAAGTTAGAGGTGTTAGCTTGAGACTAATATGAAAAAATTACTTTCGAAATAAATAAAACGTGTAAAGAAATACGCTAAAGTACCGATTGTAGCTTGAAGGACAAAAGATATGATTTACTGTGTTTTTTGTACAATTCATCATCTATTCGTTTCATCTGGGAAATTTCAAATTGTGTTGCTAGTAGCTGATGCGAATTCATAACATTTCTGGTAAGTTACCTAATTAGATTTATGATAATCAGGACTGGTAAACAAAGATTTCTTCATTTATTTCATGCCAAGTCGAATTATTCAAATTCGTAAAGCACAGTCAAGTGCAATAATGCGGAAAGTCTTCTTTCAGTCTCATTTCACTGTAACGTCAAATCATATATCAGATCCTGAAAATATAAAAACACACTGAATATATCATGTATCATTTTAAAGAATTGAATCCTTAAGTAAATCCACTCTTTATGTAGTATGAGATTAGAGAATAAAACTCAGTGATATTACTGATCACATGACAAAAATATTTTTAAACTATTACGTGTTTAAACAACTGAATTTGTTAAAGATACAACAGTGGTTTCAATCGTTAGGGTATACATTTTCTAGGTCAAATGCCTAATGCTAAGTTTGAATTCCAAGTTGAAATTATGGTTCAAATGTTTGATTACTGTGGTTTCATAATTCGTTTTGTAATAAGAAAAAGAGATAGTTTTCTGCTTCCTGAAAATCTATTACTCAGCCTTGAAAATTATAAATGATACTTAAAATTATTATATGTATAAGATTGTAAGGACAACTTAAATACTCAATCAAACACGATTTAAATCGTTGGAATTCTGGACACACGCTTCATTCTATTCGGAACTAACCAGATTTCATAAATGCCTTATCGAGGGAATCCCTACAGGATGCCCGTATACCAATCAAGACTGATCAAACTGCAGACAAACAGCATGAACGAGATACGCTAAAGTATTTCAAACAGAAAAAAACAGTGCGCCATATATTTAATTTTCATTGAAAATGAAACATGTTTTTTTAAATATATTCAAAAAATTAATCCACACTGATAAAATACAAATTATGGGTAAAATCTAAAAAAGGAATAATAAGGTATCTGTTTGGATAATTCTTAGTATACGACACAATAAAGTATGTTATCCTGTGAACCTTCAATCTAATTTCTTCTGCTTAATTCAATTGCACATGGAAAATCTTTTGATATGAGTTAGCTGAAGGGAACCAACACGAAACACTCGATCTCGACTTACTGTTGGTGAAGATTTGTCATGATGTTGCAGCTGCAGTGTTGAGGAGATGAACTCTCCTTGTGTTGTTTAAGACTATGCCATCGAATAATATGTTCAGAAAAGTTAGGAGTAATCTGTCAGAGCAGCGACTGACCCCTTATAGAATTGTTTATCTATTACACATTATTCAATATCATGTTCACAGAGTACTTCGTGCTGGTTGGGTTTTGTTATACAACTTGCAATATGTCTTCTTGTCATACTGATTCAGCAATGCTTCGACATAAATTTCCACTGATATCTTTTATAGGATGTTGAATTTTCTTCCTGCTAAGTTTAGCAATTTATGTCAATACATTTTTATCCCCCAAAGACAGGACAACATTTTTTGTTGAAAAGTAACTAGTTTTATTATTGAAAATGAAAACAATTCACTCTGGTAGTAACATAAGAAGTGTAATATGTTTTAGAGACTGGAGAAAACTTTTCAGTAACCGCCTGTTTAAATTAAGTTTTCTGACATTTCTTGTTAACGATCTAAATAATCTGAAGGGGTTGTTCGAAAACAATTATTTGAATTTCATTCATAAATAGTATGAGACAAATGAAATCAATAACATTAGCAAAATAGTTTACAAATTATTCCACGCACATCCGCATTAACGATTAATGCTGCGAAGTATGCACTAAACTGCGTAATTTGTGTTAGTCTGCCTAGTATTAGAAAATAAAATGAGTCTTAAAGTTATACAGTTTATAAACTTGAATTACGTATAGTCTGTCTTAGTATCAATGAATTTCTGTTAAACACAAAACAAATAATTTACGTTTCATGTAACCGAAAAAAATCTAGTGATACTACTATTTCACGTCACTAAAGTATTTTCGGTCGATTCTCGAATTTAGACAATTTTAACAATGCATAATCACGTCATTTCAAATATGGTTTTCTTTGTGTTTTCAAATCATTACGCCTTCTAATTTTGTGTTGTTAATGTGTTGGTTTGTCTACTCAACTACTCTCACTCGCTATATCATTTTGATTTTTTCATTATTTATAAGTTTTCTACTTCCACTACCACTAGGATTCTTAAATTAACTGCTTAATTAGGTTTTCACTTTTATTTTATTTTCATAAATGTTACTTCCATGTATTTGACTGTGAACACAAAAGACTATAATGTAAGAGATAATTACTATTTTTAGGCAGTAAAGTCTTGAAACTGAAGTCACCAAGGCGCTCGAGATTGACAACTACGCCCTTCAGAATGCATTAAATTAGTTTGAATCTATTTATAACAACGGCGTCAAAAATGAATTATACATCTGGAGTCTTTTGACTATTAATTATCCTGAGAGATTTTAAAAAGCCTTTATTATGTCCTCTCTCCGGCATATGATATACAATTAAACTAGTGAAAATGATATCGGACTTTGTGAAATATGCATGGCGATACAGGCTTAAACATTGAGTTCTGTTGTCCACGGTTTGGTGTAGCTGAAGCTGATATAATGTCGTGGACGTTAGATCCACAGAACTCACTTGATAAAGGTCCTAATTTTGGATTTTACGTTCTCGAACATGTGCTGATCAGTTGACCATGAGATTACATTTCCAACCCGGAAAACCCTTGACTGTTATTGGTTGATGTATTATTTTAGTACGCTATTTTTGTGGCTCTCTCAATTCGTGTGCTTGTGGACCTCATATTATCTGGGTGCTTGTACAATACGCTTTTTACGCCATATCAAGAATTCTGATATCGTTAGCAGGGCCGGGGACAATCAAATCAGAATAGCCTATCGTGTCACTGGATTATTTGTCTTTGCTCTCGTTTACCAAGTAAGTTGAACTCGTTTTAGTTTCAAGCATATGACATAAATCAAGAGGTGGCGCACACTTGATTATTGCTAAGTGCATTGATACAATGGTTTACAGAGACATATTTAAAAATGCATCAAGGTTGTAAGAAGCTGAAAGGAGTCCGTTAACTAAATCGATCCATAGTATTCCATCACTATCATTCGTCTTGATTTATTCGAATTTACAAATGTGGAAAACTGTATGAAATAAATTTGATTTTTTCTTAATCTTCATAATGTATTTGACACAATGTTGTTTTTTTACCGACTATTAAATCTACTAACAGATTCGAAATTCTGGAATTCACGTAGGTATTGAATTATCTGAACTGAATCTTTATCCAATTTACGAAGATATTACTTACGATGGAGTGAATGATGTTATTTTAAATGCTTCACCTGGAACCTATGCTTTTCGATTGAAACAACCATTAATGGAAATTGCAAACCAATTTTGTAGGTTAGTTCAAGTGCATCTTCATTTCTATCTATTATTTGCAATTTTCTCAGTGAGAAACCATTTCATTTTTCTTTATTGTTAAAATATTTAATAAAGCAAATGATCATTTCAGTGTTCCCCTTTATTTCTTCTTAACTACGTTCTGCAATGTGAGAAAGATATTTACCGGTTGTCCTTATATGTTTGATCAGTGAAAAATAGGCATAAAACTGAACAAACTGAATAATTTTTCTGATAGTAATTGTAACTGGTATCTAAACTAAACCTAAATGTCTGTTATTCTGTATAATGAACATAAAAATTATGCGGAAATTTTTAAATGAAGTTCTAAATTACATTCCGTATTGATACTTTTCATATGAAAATAACTGTCAAAACAAATGATGTTTTATTAGACAAAATGCATTTACTTAATGAACTTTATTATTTTCAACAGTAATTTCATGTTTTACAATGATCATTATCCATACATACACCGTAGTAGATACTTTTGGTCTCATTTCTATGTAACCCACGTATATCTTGATTGATGATACAGAACTCGAAACAACTTTATTAAAATTTTATTTATTTATTATTGACTACTTATATCTATCATAATTGTTCATAACCAGGTCCATGAGTAAAAATCATCAACAAGTTTCAGCATGACTTGTTATTTTTTGTGTGGCATTCTGGCAAAAATTTATCGACTCACCTCTCGGGTTAGATTACGCTTTTTTAAGTATACTTGCAGTCCTGTGAGAATCAATGTTCACATGCAGCTGGAACTTGAATCACTCAGCATCACAGTCTATGATGGTAACTTTGAGTTAAAATATCCTTTAAGTTAATTGACATTTTATTTTTCGTTAGATCTACATCATTTATCAATTTTCATATTTGCTTCTTGTTGGCCGGAAATTTGTTACACAAACTTACCATTGTCATCCGTGTTTGCTGCTATATTCGTCCATATTTGGATTCGAGTGATAACCATAATCTTTGGTTGGAAACGTTGGCTGACATTAACAAAAGTCGATGTACATTTGGATTATTTCTGTCATATTTTAAATCCTGGCTTTTTGTCCACTTCTAGTTTATGGGAGTTGTTTACCCTTAATTAACTTTCTCTACAATGTTTAGAATTTCACCTAAGATGATAATAATAAATATTGTCCTCCGATTCTCATATTTTTAAACTCTTTCATTCATACACTGGTGCAAAACATATTTTCGTCATTTGAAAATCATTATAATGGAACACTTATTTTTCATAATGGGAAATTAGTACTCATAAAATAAATTGTAAGTAGACGACATCGCTTGAAATTTATCAATATTCGAGCCCTAACTTAGACTTTCATCAAGATAAGAAAACTTTAAAATAGAAATTTGAATTTTAAAGTTCATAATGTATCTTTTTTAAGACATTATTAGTGTTAAAAATAGAGGCTTTGAATAACAATACACTCAAATAATATATTCTTTTAGCTTCATCTAATTACAATTAGAAGAAAAGAAAATTCTGAATGATAGAATCAGGTTTTAGCTTTGATGTAGTTTAATTTGTTTATAGCACGCATATGATAAACGTGTGAATTGCATAAACCTTTTGTCTTTTATATTATTTCTTAAGCTTCGACTGAATAGATAAGGATTCATAAATGTGCTTAGTTTTTCTATCATATAAAGTTTGAAATCTGTGAATGTTTTGATAGTGATTTGAATATACAGCAAAAAGAATATAATTGTTATTTCTGTGTACACTAGCCTTTTGCAGGTTATGTGCAATCATAGTAAGCAGTGGAACACCTGCTGCTTAAAACTGTTTTACAGTGTACACCGTAGAGATTGAGTCCATTATCTTGATATTCTGCAAGCATATGGTTCATTAGTGAGAAAAATTAGAATTTATCATTTGTGAAAGTGAATTGCCATTTTGAAGACCGCGAAATCTCAAGATTATTGGGATTTTCTTTTCAGCTAATTAATGATTTGTTATATCAGCAAATAATTATCGAATCTAAAGTTAAACTTATCCTTATCCACCCTTCTTTTTTACTGTTGTATTAATTCATTTTATAAAGGTTTTCGTTCAGTATATTTTTCCCATAATGACACAACAAGATCACATCCTAACTTCCAACGACAGTGTTTTGGTTTCAGTCATTAGGTGTAACTTGAAGTCTTGGAAGACTCAGAAGGGTATTTGTTATAAAGTGTTTAATAACTATATAATCTGAGCTTCTTCTAAAATACTTTAGCACACAAAAGCATTGAAGACAATTTTTGACAGAACCACCATGCAATAATTTTCAGAAGTTGATTTTACTCACAGAATATACGTGAGCTATTTCATGCGAATCGTGTTCACATTTCAGTAAACGTTATTTTTCATGAGTTCGCCTTTGTTGTAAAACTTACTACATTCGTCATAAAACCAGGTATATATATTATTAAAATAAAATACACAAACCTACTCATGTGTTGCGATGTTTCTTAAATGAATGAAAATTAGTTCGTTATATACAACGAAAAAAAATCAGATTTTCAATATAACTCAGTATCTTTGAAATGGTTTATTTTTCATCATTTTGAATATTTACATGAAGATTGTTTGATCAGAAAACTGATGAAAACGTTGAAACTATCTCCCGTACTCTGAATTGTAAATTTATACGAAACTAATATCTGTTCAAAAAATTTATTCAAACTATTTTGATTGATAACTTTTCAAATTAGAAATATTTAGATAATTTGAAATGTGATTTGCTTAAGAAAATATTTTACATGATATTTTGCGTTCATATGTAAAAAACTACTAATTATTGCCTATCGAAATAATAAAGCTGTATTCTTACTGAATACATTTCAATACATGTTTATTGATGATCAATATCTTACACATAAATTGTTTATCATTTAGATGTTAAACTTATGCAAAGCTTTTGGTGAAATCACTTTTATTCAGAAAAAATTTTTTCACTGGCTTTACATAGATAGAAGTGTGAAGATGACAGTGAAACCTACAATTTACAGATATTTTTGTAAAATTACACAAAAGGTGTTTCGTTAAATTAGCTGACAATAAGTTTTTGAAAATTCACATTTCTTTTGATTGATGTAGTTATTAGACAACAGAAGCATATGTTCAAATTTTTCCTTGTGTACTGAAATTTGGAAAGTGTACGAATGAATTATAATTTCTACTTTCTTTAGTATAATTAAAAAATATTCAAAGAAATTTGTATAATTAGAAATGAAACCTACATGGTATACGATATGTTAACTTAAGGAGATCAAATCAATAATTTCGGGTGTAACAAGCAATTATTATGCAGCTTGTCACTTCTGTTTGTTCTTAATTGTTTGTTAAGGCATTTGTTGTCAATGAATATGAATTGTTTGCCGAAGGGTTTAGTTTTCTCTTGACCGTTCCTGTGAATATCTTATCGTAAATCTTAACTATCTTACACAGTAGAAGATGAAGTATGTTTAGTTATCAATTTATTTAAGCCAAGTAATCCGTCATAAAGAGGGATTATTTGTGTAAATTATCCTACTTGATTCTGATTATACTGCTTGGATAGGATAAAAAAAGCCGAATCACATTTAAACTAAGTGTGAGTTTTCATTAGGAAAATATTCGTTTTTATTTCAGTGTAACGATAATTCATCATAATATTCTTTTGACTTATGGCACATTTTCTTCAGTATAACATGTAAAATACATATTGTGGTAATTTTGAATAAAATCCATTCTTGTGCTTTCCTTATTTCTGTCACATGTGATATTTAATGACTAACCATCAAATGTCACTAAAATCGATAATATAAACGAATATATTAGGTGAAAGTAGTTATTGTGTTTTCTTTTTTAAATAGTCAAATAAATCTCATCTACTATCAGGTTTATTTTCCGTGGGCCGGACAAAGTCTCTGTGATTTTTATATTCAAAAAAATTCGTTTCTGCTGTTATAAGATTGATGTTAACGATATGTTAACAAATCCCTGTTTATCCTGAAACTGTTAATTTGTGTTTACAGTTTACTAATAAGAAAAATCTCTAAACACTAATAGTTACAGTTTTGAACTATGAATTGGTTTTCTAAATATTAGATCATTTATTATTTACTCACCTGAATTAAACAATTTAACAAAAGTTTTTTTCAGACTATCAGTCAATCATATCATTTAAACAAAGATAAGTTTAAATAACCATGTTAATAAAATAACAAATAACTTATTTTGTTAGAATATTATTACATATTATAATGAAATTCTGATATAAGCAGTAATGGTATAATTTAGTCTTCAAGAATTCAGTATCGCAGAAACTAATTTTAGTCAAAAAGTAAACTGAAAGTTGTATTAGTGCTAACTTTCTTCCAAATTTAACGTTGCCATATAGGACGTGAATGTTAGTCATTTGTAATTGCATTACTTAATATGTATCGGTCACATTTATAAAATAATAATGATAATAACAACAGTAGTGTACAATAGATTACAGTGGAATGTAGGTCGCCATTGTTATGATGCTTGAAAAAATGATAATTTAGAATTAATATACACTTTTTATATATAAAATATCACGTAGTGTAGAGGCATATCACACTAGTGTTTACTTGAACAGATACGTACGTATCAGTCAAGTTTATGGTCATGATATTTTAGAATTAACTGTACTAGATTATTTCCTATGTAAACTTCCTACAATCATAAAAATAATTTCATTATTGAAATAAACATTATAAACTGATAAAAATTTATTTTTTCGAAGATATAATATTAACTCTAGAGATATTAAATAAATGATTGAAATTTATTCCACTTCAATTTAACATAAACAGCCATACAAAAGGCGAAAGAAAAAAATACTCATTTCTGGATATTCTACAACAATCATAATCAAGAAACACTTATGAAAATAGAAACAAAAAAATTGATTCAAATTAATAATAACTACATCACACAAATAATAAAAGTAACGAACATATGTAAAAGAAAATAAAAAATTAATTATCCGTTACGTTTTGGTATTATTTTTCTATTTTCCACAATAATATGAAAAATGTGTTCAATTAATTTTGAACTATCAAATTAAATAGAATATTTTTCTTTTTAAAAATAATATATTGTCCTTTTGATAAATGACAAAATGAATTTTTATAATTTTTTTAAAATTTAAACCAACACTGATGTGTTGAGTAAAGATGTATAGAAACAAAGTTTTGGTTGGTTACATTTGAGTTTTCATGTGAATCAGCACTTATATAATAACATAATAATAACAAAAAGTTATTTGAAAGTTCAGTTAGACAGTTTTTGCAGTCGTCTATTCTGATGATAATGATTCTTACCAACAGGTTGCATTTTGTGAACAGAAAGTTAGCAAATGGTTGATTGAGATGGACAAATGTAAATTATGAATGACACGTTTTAGAATTGTTTACTGAGAAACTCAATGATACGCATCACATTTACGAACTCATATTAGTTCATTTTCATTTGTATCTACGTAGTATTTAGTTTCGTAAATTACAGAGTATAATAAACATATTATTATTATTAAAATTAAAAGATCCTATAGAAGGTTTAAATAAAATAAACCTATTAATCATTGTTAATCGGTAAACGAAGCTCATGTGAATCTACTAAACCATTAGAGAAGTGTTGTAGTATCATTTATCATGATAAAACAATAATAAATAGACATCTTCGAAATCATGTGTTTTATATTTCAAGCAATTTTTGTGAATGATAAATATTATTTAATGAAACTATGACGAAACATTTTCTTCCTTCAAGTGTTTCAGTTAACATAAATCAGTTAAATAAATGAGCATTTAAATATCCACTGTTTTTTTAACAAAGACAAATTTATTTTATTATTTATAGTCACGCAAACTGTACGAATTATATTATTATATCATAGTTTTTTTTTAATTTTTTGTTATTTTGAATAGACAAGATATGAGAAACATTCAGCATTTGTCGCTAATTTTAGGTGAATTATTTAATACTTTTGAATAAATAACGTTCAAAAAGTTGTTTGATTATACTTTTTGAAATTTACTTAAAAGGTATTTTCCATTAACTTGATAATTATTACCAGATCGTTAATCTTTTTGTAAGTTGCAGTGAACTAATTCATATAGTGTTTTATTCAAATTTGTGATGGAAATATCCCAGTTACTGAAATATTTAAATTCTGAAAGCTTAAGGTTTTATATTCGTGTATGATTACTTGTATTATGAATCTATAAAACAATCTGACTTAACGATTGAGTAACGAATAAACTAGGCTGAGTAGTTGAACCACTGTTTAAGCTGATTTCGTTTCAGGGATTCACAACTCAAACTCTGTGTTTATACATAGAAAATGTCAGCTGGTCCTTAGTTTCCAAGGTATTGCTTTAATACACTGAATTATTCACTACACTGCTTAAAATAATAACGTATTTTTATTATCATGATTGTGCAACAAACGATTAGATGTCATGATTCATCGCTCCAGTGAATTATAGTCTGAAACTAATTGCATTGCAGCACAGATGTATGATGAATGCAGGAATTCATTGAAATATAATCGTCTCTTTATATTCAGCATTCTTCTAACTATCAAAAATATGCATAGCAACCTTTAAACTTTCATTATATTTCATCTGATATCTTGCGAATGTTTCTTAGTTCTGGTTATTTTTTGCTTCAGTCAGAATATGCTCAATAAAGAAATAATTTCGCGCTAAATATGATGTTTTCTTTCTAGTTTATATACGTGTAGTATTAGCATAACGTTTTATTATGCTGTCTAGAATCTTACCACAAATTGACAGTACTTTGATAGTACTATATGTTTACAGTATTATACTGACTTACCTGCTCATATTTGACAATGAACAATTATGACAGTGGTACTTAGACCATCTCTAGTCTTCGTTCTCCACCTAAAGATTGATTCCCAGAAAACGTGATATAGGTAATTAGGTATTTTAGTTTTGACTTATGCACATGAATATACTAGATATTAGGTTTTGTAAAATTTCTGTAAAAGATCCCAGTTTTGATAAATTTTATGTGCAATAGAAGAAACATGTATTCAGATTTCGGTTCAATGCATAATGAAATGAAATGGCAGTCCTAATATAATTATTTTCAATATTTTTCTCGCTTATTCATTAAATCACTAAAATTTATACTTTAGCATAGTTAACTTAGAGTAGATAGTTACACTGAGATTTCAGAATAAAATAATTTCAATTAATGAGGAGTACCGTTATAACATATCCTTCAATTTTCTCGAGATTTTACTTCATTTGTTCAACTTATTGATTGTTTTAATGAGAAAAATTTTAATTTGTGAAAGTTTTAAAAAAGTTCACTTCATCAACATAAATTAATCTACGTTTAATCTATTACTCTTCGGTCATTTAAAAAAAACTTCTTAACGTAAGCTATCTGTTTTTGTTTTACTAAGTAAATCTTTTAAATAATCTAGTAATTAAAATTACAGACAGCAATAAAACAATACGTGATGAATGGAAAACTAAACATTTCTACTTCAAGTACTTGTCGTTCTTTTAATATTCCAAACGGAAGTGAATGCTTGAAAGTTAAGAAAACTCCAAGTGTTGTTTAACTTTGCACGCCTCTCCCCAAGCTTTGTCTTTTTTAATAGTGACGTAGATAAATGTAAATAGATCTGTTAGATTATCTTATCACCATTATTTTACTGATTATAATGCATACTGAAATCTATCATCATAAAATAAAACTTACGTACAGTGTTACATATGAAATGTAGTAAAGTAAAAACAGAATAATTGTTTCAGTCGCTAGTCACATTGAACAAAAATCAATAAAGTCTAATCCATCCAGTTCACAGATGCTGATAATAAATTCCATCAAAACAAAACATTGTTTCACATGATAAAATAATTACAGGCGAAACATGTTATTATGTAACAAGTGTTAAAATAGACATAGTTAAATAGTTAAGTATTATGCGTATGACGTCGTACAGAATATTTGATAAGTATGATAAATTGTGCACTTGTTGCATGCAGTTGTATATGATAATGGGTTGTATTAAGTTGACGTTTTTGATAAATATTTTCATGTTTTCCGTGATGACCAAGTCGAATAATATTTAGAAATATGTCTATGACATTGATATGATTCATTTTGTAAACTGTCAGTATAATTCATTACACTGAAGCTATAAAAAGCTATAAAAATTAGACACAATCATTGAATCAGAGTATGGAAATATCTGTTGATCAATTGATTGTAGAAGAGTGTTGCGGATGTTAGATCCCCAGAACTCGCTTGATAAATATCTTTATTTTGGATTTATTTCATGTACCGATTAGTTAAGCTTGAGATCACATTTCTCACCAGAAAAATTCTTGGCTGTCATTGGTTACTGTGTCATTTTAGTGTTCTATTTTTGGGACCGTCCAAAGGACGTCTCCATATACGTAATTTGAGTGCTTGATTTTATTGTGTGCCGGCTGGGTGTTTGTAGCATAAACTTTCTATGCTATATCAAGACTTCTTGCTGATACAATTGGGACAATCGGATCTATCTAGACGCTGGTTCATTGTTCTGTTCTCGTTATTCGACTAAGGTGAATCCGTAATAGTTTTAAGCATACTAAGAATCGAGCATAACAAAGAGTAAAGATCAGAAGCTAAATTTTAAGTGTTACTACACTTGATACTTTCGGAACACGAGTTGAAAATTTTCTTTCTAATTCTAGAGACATGTAAATGTCCTTCAAATCAACAGTGACTGAACATACAGTCTTTTTCATGCATCAGTATGAAAATTTGGTAAAGTTACAAGCCATACTTGATGTATGAACTTCATTTTTATGGACTGGTTTTCATGGAAAAAACATGTTTTAAGTAAATCATTCTGTCATTATTATGATGTCGTTTGATTGGTGTACTGCTTTACAACTTCAGGTATCCCTTACCGAACCGATACTTATTGTCACTAAAAGCGTTTCGCAGAAGGCAAACATATGGCTACAAACGCACTTGTGGAAAACATACACAAATGAATGAAAATCTGTGCCGGAAAGATGAATACCTTAACTATCCCACAGATGAAAAACAGAAAACGCATTTTTATGAAAGGTCACTCAATGATCAATGTGGACGCAATGTAAGTTGTTTCAACTGAAAACCTTATTGTTTGATACCGGTTTAAAGTGATTTATTAATCAAGGTATGAGAATTAACTCTGTCTACTTATGGATAATTTTCTCGTTACCACTTTAAAAACAGTAAGTGTTTCTTTGATACAATGAATTTACATTTTGTATAGTCTAAAGTTATTTTTAGCTCTCTCTGTATATATACACTTCAGAAAATAACGGAAATAAGTTACATTAGTTTTAATAGTAAATTACGGTAAATACTTGCCGAGTCTGTGAATGATTACGGGTAAAAGCAAATTGGTTAGCCTCATCAGTTAGGTAGAAAGCCAACTTACTAAACATTAAACATTGAATTAAAACCAAACGTAAATGCCGTCTAGGTAAGTTTGCTTTAGACTTTAATTAAGTTGTTTTACCCTATGAAATACTTAGCAACAACTTATACGGAAATACACGTCGGATAACTTATTGTTAATTTAGGGTTGTGAAGATTGTTGGGTTTAATTAGGATCATTAACTGATCAATGTTAGTGCGCGGCACCGTATATTCTGGGTTCGATTGTTGCGTGCAAGGATCGTTTGTGCGCACTTCTAACGAGTCCCACGATAGGACGAAATCTAATGGTTAGTTATCTGTTCAAGTAGACTGACATTCAGTAATTTTACACTTCATTCTCCTTTTAATTCTGGTATATACTGGTTTAGTAAATAAAACGTTACCAACTTATTTCTGTTTTATTTAAAAAACTTAAGACAATTATCCACTCCTGTATAGGTTTTGATTGTGATAATTCCGTCCTCTGGTTATCCCATTGTTACATCTAGTCTTAAATAGCGATTATTGTTTCAGACTTATTTGCAAACAATGACTGTTACTGTTCACTGTAATCACCATTGTTAAACTCTTAGTTCAACTACTTGAATACACAAAACCAAGACATTCTTTACGTAGTAACGTCAATCATCAGTGGATAAAGCTTGAATATAATACTTTTCATCAAATAATCAAGCTTCGTAAATAAATAAAAAACGAAATGTAAAGTAAGTTAATAGTTTATGGATAAACAGACACTGTACAAAGAACGAATTCCATATACATATTTATGTGTATATTTATTGTTCCATAAAAATTAGATTCAATCTCTCCATAAAAGTGCATAATTACATTTGACGAAAACACAAAAAAGCCACAAAAAAAAACAAAACTATGTGTGCAATAAAAACTATGGCACAGATTGTTTTCTTCAGCCAACACTAACGTACAAATACACTTCAGTTCATTTTTATATTTGTTATTGTGTTTTAGATTAAACACAAAATATATGAATGTAGTATAGTTGTAAACCAGATTGTCTATCCTAGTTTAATACGATACCATGGAGAAATTATTTCAGCCTTATCTGACAGATTATATGACATAAGTTGACATCAGTCTCACGGTTTTGCATTTTCAAGAGAAACCATTAGCAATTTACGATTGTTTTAGTTGAATTCAATTCATTAAAACTAGTTACTACAACCTACTTTACTAGTTTTGTTTATTTATCATCAAGTCAGTGTACCAATTTTAAAATGACGCCTTCAAAAAAATGTATATACATATATATATTCTGAAATGAAAATATATTGTTTTCCAAGTACGTTAGACATTTTGGTTTTGAACAAAGAATTGTCTGTCTAAGAAAGCTTAAGATATTTACTAGTTGAACGAATTTTCTTGTTTAAAGTGGTACCTTGAATCATAATATGAAAGCGTATAAATGAAATAGCGCGGAATCTGAAATCATTTTGACTCTCTTTCACTTCACCGTTTGCTTACTGTTTAATCCATTGTTATTATTATGGATACCTCTTTTCAAACTGAGGAAAAAATTTTACAGTTCACATTATAAAACGACACTTGAAAGCGATACGCACCGAACAGCTGACTATATATTAACCTGCTAAGTTTCTAAACCAAAAACTTCCTAATCTCATAGTAATAGCTGAACCTTAAAACTAAACCGTCAGTATTAGGTAGTCTTTACTTCCAACGTCGGTCAGTTTGCAATGTTGAGCAAACATCTTTCACTGTCACTAGTGAATGAGTTCATGATGGGAGCTTAAAACATTTACGAATGCCTTATACAAACAATCTTGTACTAAATAATGACTGATTCCAAGAGGTAGACCTTAACCATGTAAGTGTCAGACAGTTATCTATTAGTAATAATGGCTGGAGAGTATTACGAACTGACCGATATAAAAACTGGATAAGATAAGAAGTCTGAAGGTTGAGCTATCAACACAAAGTTAGAAGATTATCCCTTCCATACTCAAAATGTTTTTCGAAGATCCTGAATGAACAGTGCCATACTTTTGAGAAACAGACCTACCTTTTCTCCATATTTTTATTACTTGTTATGTTATGATCCTTTCATAATTTGAAGTAGAGTTCAACAATCTCCACAATACACTCACATTAAGAGCATTGATTTCCCTTTTCATTTCTCAGAAAATACTTGTCTTAATAATGTGATTAATTGTAGATAGGTAAAAGTGCCAATAAAATTTTTAACACCAACCACATGTATAACTAAAATAAAGGTAGCAACTAATAAGTCGCGCCACTGTTTTATGTCGAAGATTGATATAATCACATTTTAAGGAGAATTATTTTTATAATTCATACGTTTATTTCAACTGTCAAAAGTAATAACTCAACCTCAATTAAGGTTTGCGGCACCGTTAAATATACTTTGTATTAAAGAATGAGACTGAAGTGTTCAGTTAGGGAAAAACACCAGTCTTTTGTAAAAATATATATCCAAAAGCCTGGCAATAATTTTACTACTTTTCAATAAGATAATGTAACAGAATAAAAGTGTAAATGTAGTTAGGAATAAACTGAAGAGGCGGTTGAAAACTAATCAAAGTCAATTAGAGTACTGAATGAGACAAATTTATGTCTGAAGTTGCCAAGAAACACAAAGCCTAAGTTTACTGAATTAAATATTACTTAAAATATGTTCCGAATAACTGGAAACAGTTCAAAATATTTCAGAATCAAACCTAACCAAGTTTCATTAACTATCTATGACATTCTATCGTTTTGAATCCATAAATAAATATCCTCAGCAAGTATATCTGGTAGCTTGGCAATATAATGAATATATAATGAATACTTAAATACCTTTAAAATTATATAAATTATCAGCTATCAGTTAGTTGAACAAAGTTTTTTATTAAAAAGTTACATTCCATAATTTACTTCTGTTGCAAACCATTGTAACTGCAATATTTATTTCAGTCTTTAAATTTTAAGCCAAAGAATATATTTTTGAAATATGAAAGTGACAAACTACACTCAAGTATCGGTTGTAATTTGAGCTTTTTTTTATTAAAGGGTCGATTCCTCAATTGCATTACTATTATTATACTACTTGTAATAAAATACTACTTGAATATTGAACACACATAAGAAAACTAATTTTGTCAGTTTTTTTGTGAATGTTCCTTTTTTTTTCACCGCACAAAACCACCTTATCTAAACACTTTTAATGTGTAGTGTTAAAATTTATAAAAACAAAGAGCTCACATACTTCAGTAAAAAATAAAGTTTAGAGTAAAATAATAAAATGTTTTCCAAAATGTTGCAACCACTCTTAAATAAATAAATAACTTATGATTCATAGTCAAATATAACAAAACTTTGTAGCATAAAAAAATAGTAACATCAAAATGGGTTAACTGTGAATTAGTTTTTAATAAATAAAAATACTCATTTCTAAGTATTTTTAAGCATATTCAATTAGTTTACGGAAATTGTTTTATGTCGAGTAACTTTATCATAGAAAAAAAAAGAAAATCAATCTGTCATTTATTTCTTTCTTATATATATATATAAATATGTATACCACAAAAAAATATCCATTTATCAACTAGAAATCTTTCATAATTTCACAGTAGACAATAATGAAAGAGGCAACAAAAATAAACCTAAAAATATTCACATGAAATTCACATTATTCTTATCGCTTAAATCAACAATCATAACAAGAATGATTAAAAAAGAAAGACGACATTTTTAACTAAATGGAAAATAAAAACCGTGTGAAACACGCCACCACATACAACAACATTATTCTGAGAGAGGGAAAAAGCGGGAAAAATAAGTTCGAGAGTTAATTGAAATTTTTTTATTTTTTTTTTCTTCTTTAAGCATAGAATTTTTTAGTAATAATTGCCTAAAACAAAAATACCAAATAATTTTCAATAGTTTTAAATCTTCTGTTTTACTATACAGTTGTGTATGAGTTAACTTTATGATATTCTACTATATTTTTTTGTTATGGAATGTTTCTACAGTAATGGAAAAAAAGTCCCATATATCATGAATTTTGTGTGAATTTTACGTTAATCCAGTAGAAATCTCATGTTAAATGTGGCAAATCGATAGTTAAAATTAAGACCTTATAAGTTTAATGTTTAATTAATGAATACAAAAGTAAATTAGGTTTATATAATTCGTGAAACTACAAATCCTGACAGCACAGAGTGGTTATTGCTTCTCATTTACTTTACTAATGAACGGTATTAATAACATGTGAATTAGTAATTACCTATTATATTTTGAAAGTTCACCTTGATCATAAAAATAGAGCAGATAATTCACTGGTGAGTACATAGATTAAGCGTAATCAAATCGAAAGAAGAATAAATTATCATGAAGACTGATTATACAATAATGTCAAAATGTGATATTTTACAAAAGCCAAATAACTGCTCTCTTCTCACCATGAAAATAAACTACGTACTACTATAGAAAGAATCATTGACATTAGCATCTCTATATCTGTTTAACAAATGTTATCAATTTTAAACTGTGAATTTAATCGTTAAATATATTCGATATTACTTTGTGATTATTCCTAGAAGTTGAAAAATCAATAATTAACTTTATAAAAAGGCATTTATATCGCACACAGAAAGCTCCGCTAATAGCTGTGATGTAACAATGATTAAATCTGTCTAATCTTCATGACACATTCAGTTAGTTTTAAAAAAAATGCATTTTTGTAATGTCTTATAGAGTAAAGAGTTTTCTACAGTATAGAATTCCTTTATAAATTACCATAATCCGAAGTTGATACAAGTAAACTTAATAAATTATATGAATCTTCCAATGATTTTGATTCGTACTTTTCACTTTTTTTTATATAAAATGGCTGTAAAACTTCAAATAAACTGTGATTAGATTTTATTTTAATTCGCAATAGGATAGAAATAGTTAATAACACCTAGAGTGTCATAACTCGGTGAATCTGTCAGAAATGGCTTCGGCTTTCAAATTGTCAAACTTAGTGAATTACTCTTTACTAATATAAATGAGCATTTGGTCTGATTGGAAAGGCTATGGACAAAAGTTGCAATGCTCATTTCACTGAAGACAACTTGAGATATTGGAAATCTAGTTTTGGTGTGTTATACTGGAAAACACGCCAACTGTGAAAAAAAATACAAACGACTAAATGGTTAAGCGAATAATTGTTGAAAAAATTAAATCCACAGAATTCTATTCGCTTGTAACTTATTCTGCCAGGAAAATATGCAAATGATTGAATCACTTTACAGAAATCAATTTTTTTCGGAACTTTCGAAAATAAAATTTTCGCCTGTCTCAGTGACATTACTTTTTGTTTGCAGTGCAATCGGTATGTCTGATTATTTATTCTGTTTACAATCGGATTAGCTTTGCAAAGATCACATCCATAGGGAATTTGTAAAGTGAAAATTAAACTAATATGTTACAGGTAATGATACTGAATAAGCATTCAGTATATATGTAATGTTTATTCGCTTTCCTAATGAACATAATTAAGTAGGGTTTAGCTGTTTTTAATTTACTCACTGTTCTCAATAGTACAAAAGCAATTAAGTAGGCAATCGAGAGAGTGGAGAAAATTTATACCTCAGGTGGAGGATTGTGGTGGTGTGCTTCGTTCTCTGAGCTGGATGTTTTGGTTTTGGAGCTTTCATCGAAAAATAAGACTCATCGTTTCTGTATGCTATAAACTGGTAAGCTACCTAGCAGATATACTACGGATATAATGAATAAAGTTATTGAGTCATTATCGCAAATGAAAACAACTGGGTGGATTTTGATTACAAAGACATTGATAAGAATTATTCTAGATATACACATTTGTCTGAGGTTCCCATCACAACGTTAACATGAATGTTGTGTATGAAGAATAATATTTCGCAAATCAAACAAGACCAGTAAAATGAATAATTCAGGCATAAAGTATTACGACTTAATATTATCAAGCCTTATATATCGATATTTGCCTTTTTGTTAAATAACCAAAGTTTCTCTCCTTACTGAGTAAGTATTTTATCGTCTTTGATGGTTTACTTGGCCAACATTAGACTCCAGTTCGCTAACTGCCACATGGTTGTTTGCGATAAATCTCACAATCTGATTTTGAGTGTTCAGACGATCCATTTATATTAATTTAACGCTGTTTAGCTTATAAAGTATGATGCCGAATTTCTTAACTTTAAGAGCGTTGAAATATGAAATTGCTAAAACAGTGATACAAATAAGACTTTGAAGAACGGTTTTATTTATATCAGTAAGTTCGATCTTAACGTTACGATAACATGCTCTTTCAGTAAAAACATTATGATGAACTGGTGTCTAAATGGGCCGCAAATAAAAAACGAGCCCGGAAAAGTCCTTTTACCTTGTATAAGAACCATTCTGTTATAACGTATTCCCATTGCTTATTGAATTCTTATGATCGAATTCACACCAAGCACACTGCATATTCACTTAGAATCTAATATGTCGCACACCAAGATGCAATAACATAGATAACATAAATTATAATCGGGATAGTATGTATAAACAATTAAGCGAAATGCGTTTTACAGTGAAGTCGCTTGCATGTTTTTTCTCAATACCTGATGATCTTATGTAAGAAATATAAGCCCTGACACATCTCAAGTTACATGGTTCTCGATAATCTTGAAGAAACCATTAAAGTAGCATCTGTTGTCAATTATACTGTCAGTGAAGTAACTAAGTGACTATTCTACAGAAATAACGTGATTATTTATAAAGTGCCTAATAAAATCCATTTTAAATCCGTAAGGCAATCAACACTCAAAGCTGTTAGCCTTCAGGCTAGTTGGTGCCAATGTATTTGCCTTAAGAAATAGCAACAGAAACCCTTATTCCCGATCTTGTCCAGATTCGGCTCACTTTCGGGAGCTGAGGAAACTTGAATGGTTTGTATACGCGCTTAAGGAATCTCCATAAAGTCCCAACTAAGACAGATAATCAGAAACTTACTCAGAAGCTTACCTCAGGCAATAATAATACTCTACAAAGTTCAAGAAACCGTTTTGACTCATCAACAAGACATACCCGCGTGACTAACAATTCGCCTGTCAAACAATACTTCAATATATCAATGGCAAACTCTAGCTCACCTCAAATTTCACATAAACTTGTTGTAGCCTTAGATAACCAATCTACTCTAAATCTCGTTGTAGATTTCATGCCTCCTTACTTGAAATCTCCCAAAACAGTGCAGCAGAAGCACATACTCAAACGTCTAATCTAAACTTACGAGCCTTGGGAAGCACCTAAAATCAACACTCTTAAAATCTATTTGAAGAAATGTTATACAGAGGTGTCTGGTTCCAAAATCATTATCAAAATTATTAAAGCTCAACTAAACAAAAATAGATTCTCAAACACCAAGTGTGACCATTCCTATCATATGGGAGGTTTTATGAGCACACAGACAAGAACTGGTAAATCTGCCATTTAATCACCACAAATAGTAGATGACTTACCAAAACCCCTATTTTGAAATCAACAAAATACATTTTAAGCAACCGATACTCTAAATACACGCCACAACCTAAATGTTAGCAGAACTAATGACATAATTAATTGGAAGAAATCACGGTTGAACCCAAAATTTTTATATACGGAATCTGCAGGATACAACTATCCTTATCACTTCCTCAATGGACACGACGAACTGGTAGGTCACACACCATACTATCAACCCAAGCAAGTAATTAACTTTCCTATCTGTCTACCAAAGCGATTTTAGCAAATAAATTTACAATATTGTAATAATGATTGTTTTGGTCCACAAATGGCCTACGGCTTGTTCAATTCATGGCCCGTGACCCAAACCAAGCCATGGTCTAGTCGCCATTCAAATACATTATGTTGATAAGGACGTGATCGGTGTATTTACACTCCCTGAATCCTTTTTAACTTTATTACTCATCAATGAGCCTTTATTTCCAAATAAAATTTTGGCCTTAAGTACAGTAGCCTTACCAGCCAAACGTTTCTTTATACTTGTCAATAAAACGTGTTGCTCTTTCTCAGTATCTGATTCAGATTCATTTCTGTAACCTTTGAAAATTCTTGGTTCATACGTTGATGTCTCAACCGCTGAGTTGTACTTTCTCAGTAACATGGAAATACGTAAAGTGGAAAAAGTCGAAATTCGTTTGGAAATATGAGTAAATAGAAAATGTTACAAGTGAAGTTTTAACTTGATTTAAAGAACTTAGGATTGTTCTAATTTACATTTTGGCTGAACTTGTGTTAATGATCAATAAATTTTGGCATATGAAACTAGTGCAGAGTGTTTACTGTAATGATACTAAACTTCGAATATATTCACTGTTCCATATTATATAATGTACTTATTCATCCAACTGACTGAAAGACATATGTCTTAGTATGATAGATATTTCTGAAATATCCTAATTCGAATGCTTTTTTTTCTGACTTTTCAGCTCAGATCCTTGAACTTATGGTTTGATGAAGAGCCTAGCCAATGAAACATTGAGCAAAAGATTATCGGTCTTTTTTTGTAGTATATTGTTTGGTACAAATACGATGCATATAAGCGTCAGTGATAGTTTGGAAAGGGTTAAGAACCGTTTTTTTTCTTCAAACACAACTTACTCAATCCATATTAATTAGCTAAACTTTACCTCAATAAATCTCTTTTTATACTTAACCAAATTTGAATTCTAATTTTTTCGCTTAAAACTCTCTTAGGCTTATTCCGCTCTATAATTTTATTTGTTTTAAATTGGTGAAATTTCTTTCTTACATAACTTACATAATCTTAGATTTTTCAGTCTATTTATGCTTGAAATTTTTTTCTCAATAAGTCTTAAATTATTTGATGATAAATATATTGTTACAATGTCCAGTCTAAAAATTTTCCAACCCAATGATTAGATATAATGACAATCTTATGAAGTGATTCATTTTATTGTTGAAATTTTCATTTCTTCATGTCTATTATTCTGTTAAAATTTTACTGACATTCAATAAATACTCACTATGGATTTAATTTTTTCTGTAGCTTAAAATACTGAAGATGTTTCAAAAACCAAGGTGAATCAATATTGTTTCGACAATCATTTGAAATCATCAGTCCATCATTGTTAGACCACCATTAGAAACCTGAAAGCATTGGACGGCCGTTTCATCCTGGTATGGGACTCATCAGCAGTGCGCATCCACGACTCCTGCTCCTTGCAGGATTCGAATCCCGGACCTTCGTATTGTGAGACTACGCCTAACCACTGGACCACTGGGCCGGCATCCAACGGTGTTAAAGTCTAACTCTGACTGATGTAGGGATTTTGCGCGACCTCACCCATTTGTCTTTGGTAGTTACTGCCTACACCCGACAAGTCACGTCTTCTCAACTAGAACTCCGAGAATTTCCTCACGAAGCTAGTCACTAGTGAGCACTGTAACGATATTTTGGGGCAGAGTTTTGGAGGTTTGTGTTTTTACACATTTGAAATCATCAATCATTCGAACATAATTCGGTATTGTGCACGAAGGCCTAACCGAAGGTCCCGGGTTCCAATCCTGCGAAGTGCAGGAGTCGTGGATGCGCACTGCTGATGAGTCCCATACCAGGACAAAACGGCCGTTCAGTGCTTCCAGGTCTAACAATGATGGATTGATGATTTCAAATGTATAAAAACACAAACCTCCAAAACTCTTCCCCAAAAAATCATTGTAGTCGTTTTTACCGATTAAATTTTCAAGTAATCATTTCTGTTATTTAATCGTCATTGTAGTAAGATTTCAGACCTAACGGCTTTATTATATCAAGATCATATGTTTTCTAAAATCAATATTCAAAGTATGCTTTACTTCTTAATGTATATACGAAAATGTTCTGCAAAACTACTGCAGTTGATTTACGAGTATCATAAATATGAACTGATAAAATTAGATCTGTAGGATTTCAGTGCTTTCATCAGACATAAGTCAGTATGTATTAAAATCGAAGGACTGATTTCAGATATTTCTGTTCCAGTTAAACAGCTTAGTATTTTAGAAATAAAATAAACCATTTTTCGTAGTAAGAAAGATTTTATTTCCTTTAAAAAACAAAGTCATCCATAATATTACCTTTAAGCATCAGTAATATAAGAGTTTTCTGTGTACAAATTGTAATCTCTTCTGCACATATCAAAAAAGGCAGACAATTTAATATGTACATAATATTAAAAAAATTTAACTAAATAATTCAAACTTTGAAAGCCGCCTACATTTTTTTCCTAAGGATTTCATAGAACGATTAACATCAATGTGGTTATTGGTTGGTTACCTTAGCTTCAAAATGTTAATTAAACTAATAGAAATGTAATTAATTATTTTCAAATGAAATGAAGGACGATCAATGAACAAAACTATGTTTATTTGATCAAGCTACAAAATGTATCATATAAATTTACTGTAAGTTAATAAAATAAATAATTTGCCTGCTGAAAACCACCTTTCGATCTCTGTTTCAATATTATTTGTTTATTTCTCAGTTTTTTCCAATTCGTAAACAATATTAGTGTAAAATAAAACTGAACTGAGTACCTTCGAAATTATATGACTGATTGGATATCAAATCCACTAGGGAGTATTAATTCCTTTAAGATTACCGGTACACCCTTGCCAACAATTACAAACACCCATTAAATTTTCCACTTAGATTCTCTACCACCTTACACTATTGAGTCGGTTTTTTTAATTGACTAAACATTCGAAATGAACTATAATTGTTTTCAAAAATTCTTTCATAATTTAACTAATTTCACTGATCGTAGCTTACAAGAATAGATTGTTTGTTGGCTATTTTGGTGGATTATTAATTCATTCTAAAATCAGTTAATGGTCTTTATTTTTATTCTTCATTTCTATCGGCCGTAGATACCATGATATGCAATCAATACTGTAATCATTATTCTTGATATATTTATATAAATTCTAACTTATTAGAATGATTTTAGGATTTACTGCTTATTTAGTCAATAGTCACAAATTAATTGATTCTTGTGGTTAATGATTAAATACCATGTAAATAAATAAACATTTTGTTGTTGACAAGTACCGGGAAACACCGAGAAACACCTCAATTAATTTGTAAATAATACACGATGTCTAAATTTGATTGGATCAATTATAGAAGTCAGCTGACAAAAAAGTGACAATAAAATTCACTACAAACACGAACAGCCTCTCACATAGTTAACTTCAAAAGAAAAAAAATATTTGAACGACCGATTGTTTTCACTAAGATCATTGTCAAGCTCTACAAATCATAAGAGATTATTTTTATTATATTATGATGGTAAAATAAGGCATATATAAATTATTGTAAAACGTAAACTAATAAATGAATAAATAGTAAGCTCTCGCACTGATCAATTTTCAATTATATTCAAAATGCGCTTTTACAAATTTTCAAGGTTATTTTAGAAAAAGATGGCGATTTTATAATCATTATAATAAAACAAATAAGTTGAATAAAATATTTACCAGGAATTTTATTTCACTAATCAAGATAATAATGTTATTAATAATACAATTCAACTAATAAGAAATCTCACAGTCTTTTAAATGTAACATTATTTCAGCCACTTACTGATAAATCTTATTTTGGTCAATGCGACATAATAAATATAGTCTTACTTTGTACAACTGGATGACAAAATTATTGAAAACTATTATGCGTTCAAACATTCCTTGTTTAGCGATCTTTAAACTTTGTACGAAATAAAATACATTAGACAAAGTGTTGTTTATCTTGTTAATCATCAGATATGCTATTTTCATTATTTTAAAACTTAAAAATTTAAATCAATATTTAGGTGTTGGCAATTTTGTTTTGTATAAACTATTCCGATAACATCATTTCCAAATTCGTTTATTTTAACTTTAATAAATTGGAGGGCAGTAAATAAATAAATAACTATTTAATTTCCGATGTTTTTCATTCAAAATCAATCTGTTTATCAGTTATTTTGTTTTATTTCATTTTCTGAGTAATTTGTAGCACTTATTCAATATTCAATGTGAAATAGTTGGCATCACAACTACTACACTAATCAACTAATTTTTATTAAGTTGCATAAGAGATAATATTACTAAGTGTATGACTGTCTGAAATAAAAATCCTTCTAAACAATAAAACGTAATTTTCAAACAAATAATCAACACTGATTGTAATTGAGTGTAACTGATTCCAAAAATTAGACTTGTTTATGATGAATTGAAAATTCATCATTCGCTTATAATCTTATTATGATCAAGCTTTTAACTAAGATTCTGCAGGTATTTCAAGAGTATCCTATTATATCGCACTTCTCAGCGCGATTACATATTTTTAACAAGCATCCAATAAACATTTTCGTTTAAAGCAAAAATAAAATTCCCTTTCTACAGAGTTGGCTAAACTGAAACATTAGAGTAAGTTGCTTTTCACTATAAATGACTGAAAAACTAATAGATTTTAGAGGTAATAGTGAAGTTTCAATGTATATTGTTAGCGTATATATATATATATACCTTATTCACTGTAAGATCAAATATACCTATTCTAAAACATGTCGTCAGACATGAATTCGTTTTTTCGAATAATGTCTATCATGCTTAAGGTAAAGTATCCAACTGTATTGGTGCAAAACTTTCCTGATTACAAAGATTTTCTAGTTGCATAATTCATTGAAAAATTCCCATAGTTTGTTACGTTTATCGTTAAAGTGGTAGTTGTTTAGTTTTGCCAGCAAATTCGATCAGACGTTTCGTTTCATTATGTATTAGGTTTAACCTTTCTACCGTTCTATTTGTGAAATTATTAAGATGAGTTTCAGTTAATTTAATGGTATTTCATCTGTGATGACATTGACCAATTTTTTTAATGAAAACGAGATTCAACATACATATATGTGAGTTACATACTTAAATATTTACTAACAAATCTATATACTACAAATTTATTGGAATTAGGAATCAAATATATTAAGTAGTTCATGATACCTTTTTCACGTTTATATCATATGGGAATGAATAATTAGTTGTTACATAAGAAATTTAATATATCATTTAGTGTACATTTTGAAATTCATTGAAACACTCCGCAACTAAGAATAGCCTTTACATTTATTGGGGGGAATTAAATAGTTTAGTTGGATGATTCTAAAATAAATGTAAAAATAATGACAGAGAGTAAATTTTATGCACTCCATTTGGATTTCTGAAAATCACCTGAAGTTTCGCATACATTACATATCGAATGGGTAGGCTACGGCTTAAGAACCTGAAATTTCGGACATTTGGAAGGTATGTTGTTTAAAAGTCGATAAACAGTTTTAAAACCAATACTATGAATTCATATAGCTATGTGACTTGACTTTAAGTTAACGTATTATTAACTCATCAAAACTATTGATCATAGTTTTAGATATCTCATTAGTACTTGCTCATATATTACTATCATATTCAAAATTTAACGTTTAACAGAGGGAATTTT